AATGGGTCCTAGTATCTTCTCTTGTAATATCTTTTCTTTTCTTGTTGGCTAATGAGCCTCTCTTAATGGGCCTGTTATTTCTTTTTGTTTAATCTCTTTATGTTACTGCCTAGCTGGCCGCCCACTTAAGGGCATACTTGTCATTATTCTAACATTAATTCTTAATAAAAAAGGATTAGAGGAGAAAGGGAAGATAATTCGAACCTTTCTTCTTCTTCCTTCTCTTTTTGCCATCTTCTTCTCTTGTACTTCTGCTCTTACTTCTCTTCTTCCTTTTTTCCCTCTAATCTTCAAGCTTACACCTAATAGTTGAGGACTGATTTACATATTGGGGTCGTCTACATGATAAACTTAAATCATTTCTTATAAAGCAATATCTATCATTGAATTATAAGCACTTAAAATCATTTCTGGTAAAGCAATATCTATCATTGAATTATAAGCACTTAAATCATTTCTTGTAAAGCAAATGCTCTTCCATAATTAAAAGAAAATAAAAAATTATATGACCATCACCAGATTCTTCAATAATGACTCAAGGTATTTTATCTCTCTTTCTCTCTTATTATTAGGCTTCTGATTTTGAATTTTGAATACTTTTTCTTTTCTTTTTTCTTTTTATAATTTATGTACCCCAACGTAAGAGATTTTTGTTGCACAGGTTTTTATCATACTGCGAAGTCCCCAACCATCTTCCAATAACGATTGCATGCCATAATACTGAAAGATGTTGGAATTCTAATCCTGATAAAAGAATCTCAGTTCCGTATTCAGATTTTCCAAACTTGGTAGTAGTGTAAGTAACATCATTATCTTTGCTATTGGAAGCCATATATATATATATATCAAAAGTTGCAGTTTCTAATAATCAATAGCTTTCTAATATGTGTTGTTTCTCATTATAGTAATCCACCATTTCCTGAGGTTATAGCCTTTGGTAGAAATCAAGACAAGAGACAAGGCATTGGATGCCACCATCCAAAGCTGCTTGTTTTGCAAAGAGAAGACAGCATCCGTGTTGTTGTAACTTCAGCAAATTTAGTGTCAAAACAGGTGATTATTATTATTATTTTTTTGTGCAAGCCTATGAGTCACACATTATGAGATGTTTGTTTGCATAGTTCTTGTTCTTTTTATCAAAATAAAAATTCATATTTTCTTTATATTTAAATATTCATTTACATTGGTACCCATAAACCTCCTTTTCTTTTTATTTATTTATTTATTTTATTTTATTTTTTTTGGGGGGGGGGGAGGTGCACAACATAAACATTTCCTTTAAGTAAGGTTACTTTCATGTGATCCTTGATTATTGGGTTGATGAGATATTGAGTTAGGATCTTTGATCTATGGGTTATTGTCCACATAATGGTTGTGAAGAAATTCATGCAACAGTGGAAAGAAAGAGTTTCATCACCAGTCAGATACTGTCCTGCTTGTGTGCAATGACAAGATGTTCACCTATTTGTTGATTTGATCCCACAGGTTATTCCAGCCCTAAACGTATTTTTACTAAACCTTAAACTTCAAACTTTCTGAAGTATTTTTTCTCTTTGATCTATGGGTTGATGAGATATTGGGTTAGGGTCTTTGATCTATGGGTTTTTCCCACATCACGGTTGTGAAGAAATTCATGTAAGAGTGGAAGGAGTTTCATCACAAGTCAGATATTGTTCTGCTTGTGTACAAGGACAAGATGTTCACCTATTTGTTGATTTAACCCCACAGGTTATTCCAGCCATAAACATATTTTTACTAAACCTTAAATTTCAAACTTTTTGAAATATTTATTTTCTTAGTTGAATCAATATCAGGAAAAATACTTCGTCCCCTTCACATGCTATACAGATACCGCCATTAGTTGCAGCTATGAGGTTCAATCAATGTTTTGAAAAGCGAAATCATATTGTAAATCGTAAGTTTATTTCTATTTTTTATAAACTTGTCAAAAAATTAAATATAGATATATTAAAAGGCTAAATATTTATATAGGAAAGTGACTTTATCCTATTTTTAATCTATATATACCATATATGCACCTGAAATAATAGAATTTACCACTTATACAATAGAAGCCTGAGATGATATAATCAAGTTTGACTTGCAAGTCAAATCCACATATAGTGGCTCTTTAGCCTACATATGATGGAAACTATACTCAATTTTTAGTCTTAAATAACGTAAATAAATCATTTTCTAGTTAAGGGCTTTATAAAGAATCTCCCTTGACAAAACTAAATATAAGCAAAAACATAACAAAGTAAAGAACTAATTCTTAATTGAATTTATTTGAATTGTATAAATCATAAGATTTATGAATCAAATTGTAGGATTCAAACATAAATCATAAATTTTTTGCAGAAAAGGATTTGGACATAAGATTTGAATCAAAACCCTTGGGATTCATGATTCAGATTGTGAATTGTATCATAAATCGTAAGATTTTGACAACATTTGAAAGTTCTACTTTGAGATGTCTTCTGGAAAATTTTGAGGAGGTACTGAGCATGGTGGGACTACCATATTGTGATTGTTGACTTCTAGAAACGCTAACTAGTTGCACGCGGCTAACCTTTCTAGAACTAATTAAGATGAAAAGGCTAACCTTAATGGAGTAATCAAACCTCTTATGCAATTCAGTCCCAAACCTCACCCTATAATACTCCTTTCTATGCTTGAAGAAGGGAGAAAGAAGGACTTCGATCATCTCCTCTTTCTCCTCTCTAATCTTTTATTAATCTTACTAAGATTCCATAAATTACAAGTCTGCCCTTAAGTGGGCATCCACCTCATTAGCATACTTATAAAACATAAAGAGAATTAAAGGCCCATATAGAAAAGGCCCATTAAGAACAAATAACAAGAAGAACTAATCAATAAGATAGAAATGGGCTAAGGCCCATTCATCCCAGTCTCTTTAGGAACCGGCTTGCTTATATAGTGAACTGGCTTTCCTTTAGGAACACCTTTTGTCAAAACATTAACAAACTGTTCTTCAAAAGCAATAAATGGCAGGCAAACTTCTCCTGAAGCAACTCTCTCCCGTATAAAGTGCCTGTCAATTTCTATGTGTTTATTTCTGTCATGTTGAACAAGATTATGTGCAATGTTGATAGTGGCCTGGTTGTCAATATAATATCATTGGCTTCTCACAGTCTATACCCAATTCTTCTAAAAGTGATCTCAACCACAAAAGTTCTGAAACTCCATGTGCCATTGCCCTGTACTTTGCTTCAGTCGAGGATCTAGCCACTACAGACTGCTTCTTACTCCTCCATGATACAATGTTCCCTGCCACCATAGCATAGTAACCTGAAGTGAACCTCCTATCATCAATACATCCAACCCAGTTAGCATCAGTGAATGCTTCCAGCTTCATGTGTCCATGCTTAGCAAACAAGATACCTTTCCCTGGAGTCCCTTTTAGATAACATAGGACCCTCTTAGTAGCTGCTAAATGTGTATCTTTGGGAGAATGCATGAACTGACTAATTACACTAACTTCCTAACTAGTCTCTAGAACACTCCCGTATTAGTCAACAATTCACCATCAATAGTTAGTTTATGATTTAGGTCTATAGGAGTGGAAGTTGGTTGAGCACCTAGTTTGCCAGTCTCTGCAAGAAGATCAAGAACATACTTACGTTGAAAAATGAAGATACCATCCTTAGACCTGGCAACATCAATTCCCACCAGGGCAAAAGTCTCTAGGTAATCAATACCATACATCTGAGTGTATCTTTTAGCAACCAAACGGGCCTTAAATCTTTTAATAGTACCATCTAAATGATACTTGATAGTGAACACCCACTTACAGCCAACCAGTTGTTTTGCCTCGGGCAAATCCACAATTTCCTAGGTATTGTTCTTATGCAAAGCATCTAATTCAGTCATCATAGCATCCTTCCATTTTGGTTTGGATAAGGCTTTTGGGACAGATCTGGGAGTCACGTTTGTGGAAACAAAGGCAAAAAAGGAATAGTAGGAAGGGGAAAGAAGGCTGTAGGACAGGTGTTTGAAATGCAATGAGCTATACATTTTCGTTTGCCTTTGTGAAGAGAAATAGGGAGATCAAGGTCAGGGAAGGTATTAGAAGTGAATAAAAGGGGGCTGACCTGTTACCTCAGTAGTGATGGGAGATCAAGGTCAAGAAAAGCTCATTTGAAGGTGTGGAAACAACTTGCACATCCTTGAGTCTTTGTCTCTGGTACCACCTTTGAACAATAGGATGAGAAGAAAATGTGGGAGGATGAGTAGGAGGAGGGGATGCAGGAACATGAGAAGAATACCCAATAGAAGACTCAGTGAGAGGAAACTCAATGGGGATTGGAAGAGGGATAAATGGTGACATCGCAAACAACTCCTCTGAATGCTTCCCCTCAGGAGAAGTACCAAAGAAAGGAACAAGCTCAACAAATGTGACATCTCTAGAAACAAAGCGAGTGCCACGAATTGGATCAAAACAACTACCCCTTTTGTGTGGAAGCATATCCCAAGAAGACACACTTATGTGCTTTAGGCTCAAACTTATGTCTCTGATGATCGTGAATATGAACATAACAAGTGCACTCAAACACTCGGAGAGGAAGAGAGAAGAGATCCTCATTTGGAAATAGGAGGCTAAAGGGGGTTTTAAAACCCAAAACTTGGGAAGGCATCTAGTTTATCAAATATGTAGCTGTAAAGACAACATCCCCCCAAAACATAACAGGAACATTAGAAGCAAAAAGGAGGCACCTTGCAACCTTAACCACATGTTGGTTCTTCCTTTCCGCCACTCCATTTTGTTGTGGAGTGTAGGAACAAGAACTCTGATGAATAACTCCAAAGGTATCAAAGTAGGAGCAAAGGCTCTTTTCAAAATATTCCTTTACATTATTAGATTGGAATATTTTGATTCGAGTATTAAACTGGGTAAGAATAAGTTCATGAAATTTTTGTACAATATTTGGCACTTCACCCCAGGATCTCATAAGGTAAATCCAGGTGTAACGAGAGAAATAATCAATGAAAATGATGAAATACTTGTAACTCCCATAGCAGATAAATGATATGGCCCCCACACATTGGAGTACACAATATAGAAAGGAGAAACTAATATTTTATTACTCACTGAAAAGGATTGTCTACAATGTTTTGCAAATTCACATGACTCACAATGAAGAATCGATAGGGATATTCCCTTAAAACATTTCTGGAAACAAATGATTCAAAGTTGAAAAAGACAAATGACCAAATCTTAAATGACATAACATGACTCTATCAACTGACTCTGATGAGATAAGCTCCAAAGCTACTCCACTAGGTGGTCCGGGACTTCGATAAGAGATATCTAGCAAATATATTCCATTCGCCTTATGGCCACTCCCAATCATCCTCTGAGTTTTCAAGTTCTGAAAAATACAATGAATAGGAAAGAAGGTTACGTTGCAATTCATTGATTTAGTTAAGCTATTAACAGATAAAGGGTTAGTGTTAAGTTTGGGAACACGGAGGACATAGGACAATACAACGGAGTCAAAGGCTCTAATATTCCTTTTACCAGAGATGGGAGCAAGAGACCCATTGGCAAGGGAAATCTTCTCTCTACTAGAGAGGAGCTTGTATGAACAAAAAAGGTAAGATATGTTGGTCATATGGTTTGATACACCAGAATCTATAATCCAAGGAATTCTACGATTTCCTGAGGTTGTAACATAATTTGCAGAAGCACGAATACCTGAATGGGAAAATGCGGATGAAGAGATGTTGCCTAAGGAGGAAGCTACAACAATAGTCTCCAAGTGATTAATTAACCTCCCATATCTCTCAAATTCTGCCTTCACTACTGTTTGCTACTCCACAACAGATTTTTCTTCACTTTCTCTATTTCCACCTTCAGATGTTGTAGCAACATTTGCATTCTTGGGCTTTCTAGACTAACCACCTTTCTTAAAGTTGTTGTTGTTGTTCTGAAACCTATCTGGAAGAAGATTTGGATGAAGTTTCCAACAAGTATCCTTAGTATGTTTTGGTTTCTTGTAGTATTCACATATCACCTCTTTCTTCTCAGTTGGCCCCTTTGGTTTTATTTCAGTATGTGCAAAATGTTTTGGAGGTGGTGGACCCTGTAACTGTGCCTGTCGCTTGCTCTCTTCACTGCTCACTATAGAATATGCCTGAGCAAGTGTTACTTCATCCTTGGCCAAAATATTCTATCTCATAATATCAAATTCAGGGTTGAGTCCTGTAAGAAACTCAAACATTCTATTTCTTTCCACAAACTTTCTGGATGTCTCCGCATCCTTGGTGCTATCCCATACAACTGCTTCCATAACATCAATCTCCTGCCATAGTAACTTCAACATTGAGTAGTAGATAATTACACTCTTCTCCCCCTGTTTCAGTTTTTTCACATCATTCTTCAGTTTGTAGGCTCTTGCAACATTCAATTTCTAAGGATATGTTTCTGTAACACTATCCTAAATCTCCTTAGTTGAAGTCATCCAAAGATAATGTTGACTTGTGTGGGGCTGCATAGAATTTATGCAGGACAGTCTCTTCCGGTTCTCATATGTAGGACAGTCTCTTCCGGTTTCTCTTTACTGCCCGTGAGAAACCCTAGTTTATCTCTACTATAGACATGAATCTTTATAGATTATGCCCAAGCTAAATAATTTGTTCCATCAAGTTTGATTGTAGTCACTCCTGTCAAAATGGAATCTACGGGACCAACTCCCGTCACTAGGATCTGCTTCATCTCACTTTCAGATTGCTCCATTGATCAAGCGAAAATAAAAAAAACAAGGTTTTCAAGCTTTATAGACCTAACTGAGGTCAGTTCAGCACTTAAAAGTCCCAAAACTAGGGTTTCACTGTACCTGACATCCAGGGAGAAAGAGAGAAGCAGTCGCTCCTACCAGAGCTTCCCAAACCTCTTTCAACTGCAACCGCCCACTTTTGGAGATCAAAAGGAACCCTCCAAGCCTTGAGTGCCACACCCAAACAGTCTCTTTAACCTATAACTAGAAAATTAAAGGCCCATTAAGAACAAATAACAAGAAGAACTAATCAATAAGATAGAAATGGACTAGGGCCCATTTGGCCTAGTCTCTCTACAGCTTCATTGTCCATTTTCTTCCACCCATGTGTCCTTGCTTTCTCTAGCATTAGCTTGCATGTAGCCTCAATGATAGCCCTAGCATACAGTGGGACAGCTATATTAGATTTTATTTAATAATGAAAACCATGAAAATAAAAGCATTTTAAGAGAAAATGGAAGGAGATTCAAGAATGATGATTGAGTGGCTGCAAAATGGAGAGGAAACTCTTTGGTCATACAAAACGAAAAAAAAAGAACAGGTGGCAGACTAGAGATATGCGAGTGAAATAACAATGGGTACAAAGGACAGCAAACACCATGGCTGATGCCTTTGTTAAACAAGGGGTGGAGAGGGGTCATATTTTCTGAGACCAAGAGACCCGAAGGATGACTAAAGAGACCAAGAGACCAGTAGCATAATCAGTCTACAAGCAAGCCCAAAATAGCCCCCCCCCCCCCATTTACTCCTTGCTTAGCTAGAGCATCAGCCATTCCATTTGCTGACCTTCTTACCCAATTAAAACTGTACCATTAACTCCCTTGGTAAGTACGAAATTTCCCTTTTCTGTTGCCTGAAAGGCCATGCTCCTCCTAAACTTCTTGCAAGGTCCCTTTTGCTTTTTGTCTTATGAGGGGGAAGCATTGAAAGATTCTAGTGGACAAGCATCTCCTAAACACTTGTGATGTTGTACAAGGGAAGAGGATCTGAAGATGCTTTCAATGGTTTAGGTCTAAAGTTTTGGAGTTTGGGTTTGTGGGGATTGGTGAGGTCCATGGGTGGGCATATAACATTTCTTAGATTTTCTGACAAATTGAAATGAGTTATTTTCAGCTACATGTTGAGTGCTTGGACATCTGGGTTTTGTTTGCTTTTGCAGTGGAGTAGTGTAACCAATACTGTTTGGTGGCAAGATTTTCCGAGCAGAAATGCACCTGATTATTCATCTCTTTTTACACATCCTTCTGATGGTGAAACTCTTCAAGATTTAAATTCAGATTTTGCTTCTCAGCTGGCTGGATTTATGGCATCTCTTGTAGTTGATGCACCTAGTCAGGCATATTGGATCATAGAATTGACTAAGTATGACTTTGGAGGGGCTGTTGGACATTTGGTTGTTTCAATCCCAGGAATGCATCTTCAAAAGACTCATCCATCAGAATGCATGCATGTCTTATCTGTAAGTATGGTTTTCTTCTCTCTCTCTCTCTCTCTCTCTCTTTTGCATCTTTTGAAAACAGGAAATGAACTAATATGAATTTGTAACAGTTACCTGACACTTCTACTTAGTGCTTCCCCTTTGTATGCCTATGCATGCCTTCAAGTTTCTGGATATATAGCATGTTTCTTGTGCAATAGGTTGATCATAAGTTGCCAAAGATTAGTGCTTATACATGCATGGGATATTCAAATGTTAAAAACTACTATTTTGTCTTGGTTATTGTTTGATTGCTTCTAAGGAGTTAATTAACCAATACCCCACTGTCTGATATCTTAGGGCGAGCTTACTTGAACAACATGGTTTTTTCCTCCCATTTCAAAAGAATGTTGTATTGTAAAAGGAGTCCTTAACTCATACAGTTTACTAATAAAGCAGGCAATATGTGCTTCCCGGTCATCAGGCATGAAATTCTTTGGTTCTATTGAAACATCTGTAGTGGGTTTAAACCACCGGTTTCATACCGCAGCTGATTCAGAAGGTGTGCAGCTTAAAATGCTTGCTTCTTTTCTCTCAAAGTGCAGTGAAAATGCATACGGACTGTCTGAAGTTGTCTTAAGAAGAAACACTAATATACCTGCAGATGTAAATGCTATTAGTGTTCTCATTTCTGACTTGGATGAATTCTCTGAGGGAGGTAACTTCACAAAGATCTCCTATGCCTTATAGATATTTCTTTTCTCCCCTTGTTTAATTTTTTCTGCATTCCTCTATGGAGGTTTCATGAAATTTTGATTGGAATATCATGAAAATACCTAGACAAATGCTTTATTTTATCATTTACTCTATGTGATGTAGTTCCATCCTTGTTTTTCTTCTCATTTTATTTTGTTTTCATCTTTCCATATAAGAAATGTTCCTAGCTAATTATATTGTCATACCCTTTGGACCAGATTACATTCAACTTGGTTTTCTGCCTAGAGATGTGGCAAAGTGGGTAGCTCCTTTATGTGATGCTGGCCTTTTCAGTTTCTCTGCTTGTATTTGTCGTAAAGAAGCACTAAAAGCTGCATTAGAAGGAAGAAACGACAAAGTTCTGATGATATTGTATGTGTCACAGGCATGTCCTTTCTGTTACTCACATATTTGTTTTCTATGATACTCTTGTTGGGGAGGCTGCACCAAACCTTGATGGTTCATGCCATTGGCAAGCCTGTATGTGCATGGTCATGGAAGAGTTTGTGAAGGGGATGCAAAAGGGAAGTGTTAGGGCGCATATCCTGACACTAAAAAAGAAGCTACTTTTGGCACGTAGCACTAGTAGGCAAAAAGCTACTTTTGGCACAATTTGGAAGGTTTCTTTTGAGCCAAGGAGAGTGGGTAAAGGAGGGGAATATGCAGAGTACCCCCATTTTTATCCTATTATCCTGGGCCTGAAGATATCTCCTATAAAATGACCCCAACCAATGGGATAAGTGGCAAAACCAAGGGAATTAATGTTGGTACTCTGGATGTTGAAGTCGGTGTTTTAAAAGCAAGAAATACAACTAAAGTTCAAGGGGTTCCTAGAGCCTGAGGCACAAGGCAAGGTGTGCACCTGAATGAAGCACTAAAATAGTATCGTATGTAGCCTTGTATGTTATTCGTGCAGTGGAGTTTCTATTTTGTAGGTTAGGAAGAGGAGGTCACGCTTTTCTTTTTGGCTGATGTTGTCTATTGTCTTTTTCTGGTTGATGTGGTCATTGATTTTTAGGGTTTTGTGGTGTCTTAGGCTTATAAGGCTAGTTCTCTTCTCTTCTTTGGTGATTTCTTATAGATCTTGTATCTTCTTTTTTATTGTAATGAAAATTTTCCTTTATTATCAAAAAGTAAGGAAGTTGTTTCCCAAGTCAATCTGTTCCAAGTTTTTGGAGTCTGCTAAGTAGCAAATCCTGCAACCAATAAAATGTTTTCATTTTTGGTCTGTCATATGACATCTTTGATTTTAATGTGCAGGGACCTAACTTTTCAGAAATACAAAAGGTGATGAAACCTGAGCATGTTCCTGCAATATGTTCACTCGTTGCATCAGTTCAGAGGTGCTTTGGCCTCTGGCGATTACAAGAGGTAATGATTGTAGAGTCAACTAACTTTGGTCTGCTCATATTCCACTTTTTTTTTTTCCTTTTTCCATCTTTTAGAGTTGTAATTTAAATTTTTGAATCAACACTTTCCAATCATTGGAGATAGATATTCCTGCACATGTAATGTACTATTACTTTCACATTTGTTGGTTTTGCCATCTGCAAGCTCCTTGGGGACTGCTTCTTTCTAACCTGATTCTTATAGAACATTCACTTTTCCTTTACTCTTGGTTCTTTTGCTTCATACAAGGTACTGGGTCGATACAAGTGGCCTGAATCACTTGAAACTGATTTTGTTTATGGTGAGTGATTTGCATGGTTGTAGACTATTTTTAAAGCTATTGAGGAGCATCTGTCATGATTTTGCTTTGCTATTCTGTTTGTTAAGGTTCATCCTCAATTGGTACATCAGTCAATGCAAACTTTTTAGCTGCATTTTCGGCAGCTGCTGGAAAGAGGTCATTCCAATTCTCCGAGTCGGAGGAATCTGATCCAGAGGTAGCATACATTTTACAATCATCTGGTTCATTGTAAACAAACTCAAAAAGTTAAATTAGTGTAAATTTTCTAATGAGTTCAGTTATTCATCCATGCCTTTGACAGTGGGGCTGTTGGAATGCTAGTCAAGAATTAAGAAGTCCATCTATGAGAATAGTCTTCCCTACCATTGAAAGAGTGAAAGGTTCATCTTGTGGAATCTGGCCTTCTAGACATGTGCTGTGCTTTTCAGAGGTATGGATTTAGTTGCCTTTGTTTGCACTGTACATAAAAAGCCAATTTTGGATATGAGTTCTGGTGGACATCTATTCCAATGTTGGGCATTCAATATGCAAACTAGGGATGGAATTTTTTTTAACCCAACCCACTTATTTATTATGGGTTGGATTGAATGTTCTAATCAATGTTGTCAGACTCGGACCATTCAGAAAACTGGAAAGGCTATTGGATCACATGTCGAGTGGTCTGAGTACTTCGTTGATCTAGTGATCTGTGATGTCATATGTAATCATATAAAATATTGTGGTTAGATGACTCTTTTCATGGTTCCATACAGCAGAGAGATTGGGCCGAATAGGCCCTAGTGCTCTTTACTTTCTTGTCTTCTTTGTATTTATGCTAATGGGTCTTGTCCATATGTGCCTGTTAACTACTTTTTATTCCTTTTATGTTATGTTTATGATCTGGCTGCCCCATTAAGGCATCATTATGATCATGCCCAATGTGATTAAGTTAATAAAAGTAATTAGGAGAAAGGAGAGTGAATTGATCGAACTCTCTTCTCCTTCTCCCTTCTTCTCTCACCATCTTCTTCCTCTCCTGATTTCTTCTATCTCTTCCTCTTTTCTTCTACTTTCAGATTGAAAATTTTATTTTATCCTTTGGGTTGATTTTCTTCTTGGTATCAGAGTAACATTGTCTTCTTCTTTCCTTTTAATCCCATACACCCTTCAATTGGAAGAGTATATGGAGAGTTAGTGATGTAGTAGGGCTGGAACAAACTATCACAAGATAGAAAGACAGAGGAAGAGAGAGAGAGAGAGGAGAGGAGAAAGGGTAGAGGAAGAGAAAAGAGAGAGAAATCCCAAGGAATCACTCCAAGGGGTTCTAGAATCGCTCTAGGGTTTGTAGGAATCACTCCATACAGCAAACTTGCAAGAGAGCTCTAAAGAAATCTTCATTCATTCATTAGCTCGAGAATACATCTATTTATAGAGTGACTTGTGTGGCCCGAATACTGTTCACCATAATTACAAAAATGTCACTCCTTGTCTTGTGCATCAAGAAACACAATAGCTTTCTATCTACTAATGCAAATCAACTGAAAATTGAGAGACAAACACTACTAAGCTAGAGGAGCAAGATGCTATAGCCCAAATCCACATAGGACTGGTCAAAATGACAATAATACCCCTGACCAGATCAGTCCAAGTCCCAAGAGTCTTCCCCATGCCAAATCAGAACCTGTTTGTTGGCCTTCTTCTTATGAGAATAGGTCTTATAATGCTTGGACTGATTCCCACCAGTTAGATTGTTGATTTTTCTTAGTTGATTACTAATGTTGCCTAGTTTGAGAGAGGTTTAGAGACCTAAAATCTAGCTTTTGGGATGCCAAGAAGTTGCTGTTTTTCCTCTTGCCCAAAGCCCTAGTCGACTAGAGAGATTTACTATTAAGGGCTAAGGGAGCTGAGTTAGGCTAGTGCTCAGAGCTTGGTAGATATTATTTGACTTCTAGAGGAGATTGATTCCAATTGAGAAGGTTTCTAGAGTCCCTGCTTGGAGTGGCTGCAATTCTCTCATTTCTCCTAGGTTGTAGGGCTTGGTGAAACTCCAAAATCTTGTGTTTTCAGTGTTGGATTGACTACAAGTTAGTCTATCTAGGATAGTAATACCATATTTTTATTTCCATTTGATCAGTAGAAGAGTCGACAACTGAGACAAAGCAAAACCCAAAGCCCGGTGTTGGTCCGATAGGGTTCATAGAATCTTTGTTGAATGTTATGACTACAATCAATAGATGGAACAAATTACTTGGCTTTGGCACAATCTATATGAATTCATGTTTGTGGTAGAGGCAATACACTTCCTCTTTCCTTTTCGGAGTGCAATAGGGAAATCTAGGTCATCTACAATGAGGCATACCTGGATCTGTGTCAGTCGAACTTGGAATCTCCAATGAGCCAATAGGGAGTAACGTGGGTTCCTCTACTGTGGAATCAACCTCCCTGTGTTGTCGTGTAAACCACTGAGAAGTAGGACGCAATGGAGGTGGCAAAGCGGGTGGAGTAGGTGGGTCAAACATTGGAGTGGACAAAGGACTTGGAACAGGAAGTGGTATAGATTGTTCACTTCCTTCCCCAAAACACTCCCCCTGAGAAGATCCCCTCGAGAAAAAAAGGTGTGGACTCAAAAACGGTGATATCCATAGTAACATACTGGCTCCCAGAGACTGGATGATCATAACAACAATACCCCTTCTGATTTCCTGCATACCCAAGGAAGACAAACTTCTTTGCCTTAGGGTCCAACTTTAAGTGACGAGGATCAAGAACATGGACAAAGCATACACATCCAAAAAACCCTTGGAGGAATATGGAACATCTCCCCCTCAGGAAAAGGAAGGCTGAACAGAGTGCTATATCCAAGAACACGAGAAGGCACCTGATTAATCAAAAAGTTGTTGTAAGAACTGCATCACCCCAAAAACGAACCAAAACTATAGAACTCAACATCATGCTTCTTGCTACTTCTAGAATATGTTTGTTCTTCCTTTTTGCTAAACCATTCTGTTATGGAGTGTATATACAACTGCTCTGGTGGACTACTCCATGCTCCAGTAGGTATGGTGCCTGGTTTTTTTAAAGTATTCCTTGGCATTATCTGATCTAAACACTTTTACTCGTTCCTCAAATTGTGCCAACACCATCTGATGGAACTATTGAACCAAAGAAGGTACCTCATCACGGGATTTCATCAAATATATCCAAGAGTGTCGAGAATAATCATCCACAAAAAGAAGAAAATACTGATAGCCACCCATATAGGAAATACTGTATGGCCTCCACACATTAGTATAAACAATATTAAAAAAAGAAGAACATCTTTTATTGCTTGCTTTAAAGGAATGTCTACAATGCTTTCCAAGTTGGCAACCCTCACACTCCAAGCTAGACAAACTAACAGGCTCGAATAATTTTGGAAACGAAAAACGGAAAGAAGCAAAAGACAAATGCCCTAACCGATTATGCCAAAGCATAATCTGACCCATTGACTTTGACTCATTGTTCCCGTTGACATGATGACTCTGATGACTGGGAAGCTCATCAAGAAGATAGATTCCGTTCACCTCATGACCACTCCCAATCGTCCTCTTTGATTCTTTGTCAAGCTACTAACAGACAAAAGATTAGTGCTCAGTCTAGGAACTTGAAGGACAGAAGGTAGGGTAATGGTGTTGGTTATCTTGACAGACCCTTTTCTAGCAATGAGAACATGTGATCCATCAGCTGCGGAAGCTCTATCTATGCCAATGCAGAGGTGATATGAGGAGAAAATGGTAGAAATATTGGTCATATGTTTTTAGGCTTTAGAGTCTATAATCCAGAGAGGTCCCCCCTTACTTATGGTGGATACATAATTTGTAGTGGCATGTGAACTACCTGTATGTGCAAACAAAGTAGAATGGCTACCTCCTGATCCACTTGCACCTTGATGTCCACCTGATGTTGAGTCGGAATTGGCTGTATCCCTCTGATTCAAAAACTGCCCATATCTCTCTAATTTGGCCCTCATTGCAGTTGCTGCAACAGACACTAGAGAAGCTGTAGTAGGTGGTCCTGATAAATCACTAGTCATTGCCATATTCACATTTCCCTTCTTGTTTTTGAGCCAGCTCGGTATAAGGTGTGGGTAAAGCTTCCAACAGGTATCTCTAGTATGTTTGAGTTTCTTACAATATTCACAAATCGGATCTTTCTTGTCTTCCTTCCTCGGTTCATTTCCACCTTTATCCCCACTCGACTTAGGCTTCATTGTGCTAACCATAGCTGTCTGTTCAAGGCTTGGGTTCCTCATCATCACATTCCTCCTACTCTCCTACTCTCCTCATCATCACATTCCTCCTACTCTCCTACTCTCCTCATCATCACATTCCCACTCGACTTAAGTTCAAGGCCTAGGTTCCTCATCATTTCCACCTCAAATACCCTATTCTTCTCTACCAGCTTCTGATAAGTTGTTGCGTCTTTGCTACTTTCCTAAACCATAGTCTCCAAATGATCTATCTCTTGCCATAAGGTTTTGAGGGCTGAAAAATAAATTGCAAAAAACTTATCTCCCTGCCCAGTAGCAATCACCTAGTTTCTCAACTGGTAGGCTCTACCAACATTCTCATTTTGTGAATAGGTTTTTTCTACTCCATCTCAAATCTCCTTAGCTGTGTTAGCCCATAGAAAGTTTTTACTTATATGGGGTAACATGGAATTGCATAGCCAAGTCATCACCATGTAGTCCTCTTTTATAGTCTCAGGTTTATTTTCTTCACCGATGACATACCCCAATTTTCCACAAGCTCCAATAGCCATCTTTGTAGATTGTGACCATTCTAAGTAGTTTGCACCATCCAACTTGACTATAGTGATGGTCCCAACCCCGAAGAGATCACCAACATCTCCTCCACCTAGTCTTATTTCACCTGCAAATTTGTTTTCAACTCCACAACTCTCCATAATTCACAGAACAGATTAGGAAATCAATTTGAGATGAAAAGAAAGAGTTTTTTCTCCTTTAGAAACCTCAAACACCTTCCTAGTACCCTAGAAGCCCCTCCTTCCAAAGATTCCTTTCTCCGTAGGAGCAGGAGAAGAAAGAGAAGAGGCTGCTGCTCCCTCCAGAGGCCTCCAAAAAAGCTGGGACCTGAACCACCCTCTTCAGAAAACCTCAAAGAACCCTTAAAAACCAGAGCGCCACTTCTTAGGTCAAAATTGAAGAGTCCTACTAAATCAGGACTCTTCCCCTTTCTCCATTTCTTCCTGATTTTGGTGCTAAACCCTAGACCAGCTACAAGGGATTGCAAATCCACCAGAAAAATCCAAAAACTGGGCTTACCTGAAATCCTCAATCAACACTTTATCTCTAAATTTTCTTTGATACCAAGTAGAAAAGTGCAGATCTGTTTTGATATAAAATCTGTGTAAAAAAGGGAAAAAGAAAGAAAAGAGAAGGTTTGTGCAAAGAAGAAAAGAAGGGAGAGATTGAAGAGAGTGGGAGAAGCCAAAATTAGGTCCGGTCGCCCCTTTCATTAGCTTATATATTAACAAATATAAGCTGAATACAAAGACAAGTATGCCCTTAGTAAGTTGGCAACTTGTAAAAACTAAGTAAACACACTTAACTTAAATATAAACTAATGGGCCTTGGGCCCAATAACTCTCTAACTATGCTATGTAAATAAACACAAATGATATCAGTCCAAAACTCATCAAATAAGCAAGCTAGGCATGATTGACATCTATGCTTAACTTAAGGGGGAGTGTAGAGAGACTAGCCCAAATGGGCCTTATATGGTTCCTGTTAACTACTTTTTATTCCTTTTATGTTATTAAACTTCTCCTTCTCCCTTCTCTCACCATCTTCTTTTCCTCTTCTAATTTCTGCTATCTCTTCCTCTTTTCTTCTACTTTCAGATTTAAATATTTATTTATTTTTCTTATAACAGTAGCATGTTACACATTAAAGGAGAGGTTGCAGGTTTGTTATAATTCAGGTTTGCCTTAGAGTTCGGCCTGACTGAGTTCAGTGATATAGAAGAAGAACAAGTGATAAAGAAAAAGAGAAAGAGAGAAAGAGAGAAGAGAGAATTCTGGTTCGAACTGAAAGAGTCAACCTGACTTCTCCCAGTCGGCCAGTAAGTATTTATATTATTATTAAACATGACTGAAAAGACCTATGTGCCCTTACTTAAGTTAAGAGCACATGTTTCAACACAACATTACAGATCAGCAACATCAATCAAGGTATAAAGACAGAAATACCCCTACGCTAACAAGGTTCAAATCCCACCATTGTCAATTTACGAGATGTGATAAAATAGTGACCTAGGCTGATTGTTGAAAACCGGTTGGGTTGCTGAAACCTGGATGGTTTTCAGTGGTTCTCATGAGTTCATAATAGGTCAACTGATAATAGGTTTTCAGAAATTTGAAAACCTGTGATCTAAAAAACTAGAAAGACAACCAACTCTTGATTCTGATGGTCAAGTTTGACAACATTGGTTCTATCCATGACCATAGATCATTTAAGATATTAATTGGTTAGAATTCCCATTGGATGTTTCATTATACACAGGTTGGGCTATGGGTTATCCATTGGACAACCTGTAAGGAATCTTGACAAGCTCCCTATCCAACAGCCTCTCTCTCTCTCTCTCTCTCTCACACACACACACAAATTTGTTGACTCTCCCCATTCAGATCTGGCCGGTTTGTCTTCTCTAAAACAATATGGAGGCAATTTCTCTTGCTCCTCTTTCTTCAGATATCTTGCATCTGCTAGCTCCCAAGGGGTGGTTCTCCCGGTGAAAGAAATATGGAGCAAGCCTATCCTGCCAAAAATTCAAGCTTTCTATTGAATTATTTTCCTTTGTAAGGTAAATACATGTGATTTTCTGCAGAAACGGAGGTCTTCCACCTGCCTCTCTCCTCGTGTGTTTTCTTTGTAGGGATAGCAGCGAGTCTCTCTCCCACTTATTGATCTCCTGCTCCTTTGTGCTTCGTATTTGGGAATTTTTTTCTCTTTTTGGCTGCAGGTGAGACCCTCCCCAAGAGGTGATGGACATTTCCGATCCTAACTTCTTAAGGCAACAAAAGGAGGGAGAATAATGTGGAGAGCTACTAAGGCAACTGTTGCTTGAGAGTGTGGGAGGAAAGAATTAACAGAATTTTTGCTGGAAAAAGTAGAACTTTGGAAGAGATAATTGACAACATAAAAGTGAGGGTTGCATTCTGGATAAAAACCTAGGAAATAGCACAGTCCTCTAGAGGAAGGAAACTCTAAGAGTTGAGTGGAAACCACCAAATGGTTAGCAAAGTAAAATTGAATTTTGATGGAAGTTCTATGAGCAACCTGGGATTGGCTCTATATTCAGGGCCAATTGGCATTACAAATTTAACAAAGGCAGAGTTATTGGCCTTACTACAGGGGCTCCGGTTGGCAAAACAATTGGGCTTTCAACAGGTGGAAGTGGAAAGGGATTCAAAAGTTGTTATATCTTGGGCAAGATGCAACATACATATCCCATGGACCCTTAAACATATCTTCAGGGAAGTAGATAGATTAGCAAAGGATATAAATGCTGAATTCAGGTGGATCAGGAGGAGTGAAAATGGGTTAGCAGATACTTTAACCAAACAAGGGGCTGAAGGCAACATCTATATTGGGCCTCTTTGTAATTTTGGTTATAGTTCTTGGGGATGACATTAGGGTCATCAGACTACTTATTCCCATATATTTTTATTAATGAACCAATCTTTATTGCTGATGAAAAAAAGGTTGAGATCATTGTATTCTTGTAGGCTTGGATGGCCAAGGTCTAGGGTTTTGTTTTTACATAATGTTAGGAAAAATTTTAGTTAACCATGAGTCCAAACAAAAGAGAACTTGTGGCATTGTTGCATGAGAAGTAACTATGTTAATGAATAGGGGATTATCCAGTTCACAGATGGTAGATATGGCTTTAGTCAAAACTGTAGCAGATAAAGATTAGCTAATTATAAGCAATCATAATTGCTAATTAGGTATTTAGGTGGGTGCTGGTTGGTGTGTTGGAGTTCATGAAGGGTGAATTTTTTTTACGTATCTAGGTAAAACTTGTCAATTGCCAGCCCTTATTACAATAGCAAACCAATACTTTACTGTCTTAAAAGGTGTACAGTAGTAACACCTTTAATTTAAAGGATATATGCCATTATGCCCTACCCCTAAATGCATTTCTGATGTTTGCTGATGACATATCATTAATTGATAGGGGTGCAACTTGGGCAGGACCAACCCGGGCCCGAACTGACCCAACCCGCAACTTTAGACGGTCTGGGCTTGGAATTTTGGTCCTCAGGCTTTTGAATTTTTCAAGCAGGGCTCAGGCCTAGCCCTTAGGTAGTTTGAACCCAGCCCGGTTATATACATGTTTATATGCATATATAGACATATTTCCATGCATATATGCAATTTTTTTAATAAACCATACATATACCCACCCATACATGCATGCATATACATATACATGTATATCAGCTTTTAGTATGAGCTGATTGACTAACCCAAGCCCAACCTGGGCCTGGGATCAACCCGAGTGCATCAAATATTAGTGTGAGCTAGGCTCGGGTTGGATAGTCTGGGCTTGACCTCTGACTCGGGCTTTAAGCCCAAATTTTAAGGTCGGGTCTTAGTTGAGCTAAAACTCAACCCAGCCCACCCAACTTGCACCCCTATTAAAATGTACGAGTAATCAATTAATAGGGGTACAAGTCACCAAGCACTGAACAGGGACGTAGGGCTATGTTCTCCCTCCATCCTCTCTTTTCTTCATCTTGGAACAAATGTTTTGGGCTCTAACTACCAGGGAAAGCTTGTAAGAAGCTTGAAATGTAAAAAGGACTTGTGGTGAGGACTAGACTAACACAAGTCCACATATCTTGTAAATAACGTTGATGATAACATACACAACTTATCTTAATAGGCTACCCTTTATCTATGATATGCATCACTTCAGTTTATTTCATTGTTTTCACAGAGAACATGGCAGAGGCTAAGAAATGTTGGCATATTTCATGATGCAATTCCTCACCCCAGTGAGAGAATAGGTTACCCAATGCACATCAAGGTAAAGTACATTTTCCCCTCATGTGGATGATTAGAATCACTAGATGTGAGTCAACAACGTATTTGTTTGTCCTATCTGCATGTGAATTTTGTGCATTATGGTATCTCATCATTCTTCTGGACATTTCGTATGCTATACTGCTATACATTTCGAATAGAAGCCAACAAAGAAGTTGGTTCCATAAAGTTGATCTTAACAAATACTTTACCCAATATTGGTCCCATTTACGTGGGGTCTGGGGGAGGGGTGAACTGGACTGGAGACCCAACTTCTTCTGAGCTTTCCTTGTTGTGCTTGGTTGCAATGATAATGGCCTGGCACCAACGTCCCTGAATATATAATTTATCCACCCAGTGCAGTGTTAATACTCTTTAGGTGTTTACAATATGAACTCCATCATAGTTGTATGGCAACAGGTGGCACGAAGGCGCTTTCAACGCACAACAGATGGGGCTTCTTTTGGATGGGTCTATTGTGGATCACATAATTTCAGCCCAGCTGCCTGGGGGCGCCCGATGTGCAATACTTCTGGTTTAAAAGCAGATGAAGCTGCAGGAGCCACCTGTGCCTTGGGTTCCAAACTTCATATTTGTAACTATGAGCTTGGGATCATATTTATCATACCCCCACTGGATAAAATAAATGGTACTAACCACAAAACTTCAAGTGTGGATGACATTATATTGCCTTTTATCATGCCTCCCCCAAAGTACCAGCCAGAAGATAGGCCAGCCACAGGTCAAGCCATGAAGGAGGCCTTACTTGAACTCGCTAAGCTGGAGAAGGAAAAATTGACTGCTAAAGTGAATATTGAAGATTTGATGGATGAAGAGTTTCCAGATGAAGAGGAAGAAGAAGGGAACACGGTAGAGGTGATGCATTATGTTGTCGAGGAGAAAGAAGAGGAGAATGCCTATGCACGGACGTTGTGGAGCCAAGTGGAATCAACCCAGAATTAAAACTTAAAGATAAATCTTAATTGCAAGTTTGTTCCATAAACCAGGGGTCTGGAAAGCAAATAATCGTTTGTATGCTTGTTTAAAAAAAATCATTTGTATGCTATTATTGATGTGGAGTTGTAGACAGAAAAGTACTGTAAATAACAAGTAACTTCCTATTGCAGCAATTAGTGAATTACTGTAATAAAAATTTCATGCCATTACTGGGATTTGAACCCACGTTGCCTGTATACGACTTGTTAGAATTGTATTTTTGTGCATTCTAATAACTCCACCATGTCCAACCAAACTGGTGGTGGTTCAGACGTTCAGTTAGTAGGAACTCGACTCGTTGTAGGGGAGGCCTGCGATCAAATCCCGTTGTCAGTTGTCACCAGGGTGGGGAAGGGGGTTTAGGTTAGGGGATGGGCTACCCGCCTATCCCTAGGCTACAACGAGTATCATATCCCGTTGAATACCATGTTCCGATGTTCGTGTGTATTGAAAGTAGCATGCATCTTATAATAGCCTCTCCTGTATACGCTTTGCAATAAAGTGAGATTGAAACGGGAGGGAGGTAAATCCCGAGTCCCGACACCGAGATACCAGAAGAGAGGACCGAGGACGTTGTCCACTTGTCCCCACCCCATATTAAATAAAGAAAACTTAGAAAGTTCCTTCCCTTCTATTTGGCTAACGTTAACGTTGCAAGTTCCTTCCCTTTTAACGTCAACAGCTGCCAGTTCACCGAAAGGGTGTATATATTAGAGAGAGAGAGAACCCCCTAAGAATTAAGAATGAAATGTCCATGTCGGTAGAAAGAGATGCTACAGAGGCCAAGTTCCCTCCAGGACCTCAAGGTACTATTCCGTTCATCTCACTTGTGTCACAGGTACCTTTCATCAAACACGTACTTCCCATGCAAACCCATAATGACTACCACCGCAACAAGAAGCACCGCTTTTGAATCCGGATGCTTATATAGTCATCTTCTACATTCTTGTAACACTCTCAACTCACTTAAACAGATTCACTCATCTCTATCCACAACCGGTTTAATCAAGCAAAACCCCCATTTGAGTGCCCAGATCATAATCAAATACTCCAAATTCGGGGACCCGGGTAGCGCCAGGTCCCTGTTTGATGTGATTCGTGGATCCAATTCCTTCCTTTGGAACACGATGATCCGAGCCTATGCACTTGGTAACCACTCCATAGAAACAATTGAACTGTATTTGCTTATGCGCAAGACAGGCGTTGGACCTAACAACTACACGTTCCCCTTTGTTCTCAATGCATACGCTTCGAGATCGTCGCTGTTTGAAGGGAAGATGGTTCATGGCGATGTTATAAGAACCGGGTTTGAGTCGGATATGTTTGTGGAGGCTGCTCTTGTTGACATGTATGCTAAGTGCGGGGATACGGATGATGGATGGAGGGTTTTTGACAAAATGTCAAAGAGGGACCTTGTCTCCTGGACTGCCATGATTACGGCGTATGAGCAGTCTGAGAAGGCTGAAGAGTCGTTGGTGTTGTTCCAAAAGATGCAGCAAGAGGGTTTTCTTGCAGATTCGGTTGCAATGGTCAGTGTCGCCTCGGCAGTTTCTCAGCTTGGAGATGTCAGGAGGGCTCAATCAGTTCATGGGTATATAATTCGGAATGGATTTCTTGAAGATGTGTTTGTTGGGAACTCAATCATAGCCATGTATGCAAAATGTGGCAATGTTGAAGGAGCACGTCTTATTTTCGATCTAATGAAGGAAAGAGACGGTATCTCCTGGAATTCTATGTTATCAGGTTATACTCAAAATGGTCAAGCAAGTGAAGCTCTTCTGCTTTTTGATCAAATGCAGGTCTTGGGAGTTAAACCCAGTCCAGTTACTGCATTGATTGTGGTTTCTTCCTGTGCATACTTGGGGTCTCTTCACCTTGGAAAGAAAATACACGGTTTCATCATCAATAGTAAAATGGGAGTTGATATAACATTATGGAATGCGATAATAGACATGTATGCAAAGTGTGGAGATTTGGATTCAGCCATTCAGATGTTCAACAACAGCCCACAAGGTGAACGAAATGTTATTTCTTGGAATGTGATGATCACAGCTTACGGTGTTCATGGCTGTGGACAAGAAGCACTTAAACTATATTCACAGATGCAAGAACAAGGCATAGAGCCAAACCACATCACTTTCACTTCCATTCTGTCTGCATGTAGCCATAATGGACTTGTTAGCGAGGGTAGGAAGATTTTTGAGGATATGAGAAAGCTCTCCGTGAAGCATGAGGTGAAACACTATGCATGCATGGTTGATATGCTTGGCAGAGCTGGATTTCTGGATGAAGCTCTTGATTTGATTATGGAAATGCCATCAGAACCTAGTGATGAGGTATGGGGAGCCTTGCTTTTGGCTTGTAGAATTCATGGGAAAACTGAGTTGGGGGAATTTGCAGCTAAGAATCTGTTTCACCTTGAGCCTGATCATACTGGATATTATGTGTTGATGTCAAATATATATGCTGCATCAAGCAGATGGCAAGACGTTGGGAAGCTGAGGCAAGATATGAAAAGCAAGGGACTAAAGAAACCCGCAGCCTTAAGTGTAATCGAGTTTGGTGGAGTAGTTCATGGTTTCCACACTGCAGATAATTCTCATCCACAATGTAGAGAAGTTTACAGAAAGGTAGAGAAAATGGTGGTCGAGATGAAGATGGCAGGCTATGTGCCAGACATATCCTGCGTTCTGCATGATATGGAAGAGGAAGACAAGGAACATATCCTCAACTACCACAGTGAGAAACTTGCTGTGGTTTTTGGAATTATGAAAATTGAACATGGCATGCCGATACAGGTAACCAAAAACCTTAGAATCTGCAATGATTGTCATTCAGCATTCAAACTAATTTCGTATATTTATCAAAGGAAGATTGTTGTGAGAGATGCAAACAGATTCCATCACTTTGAAGGTGGATCTTGCTCATGCAAAGATTACTGGTAAAACTGCTTCTAATTGACAGACTGCGTCTTGATGATTGCTGGATGAGAAGAAATTAATTATCGCTAAGAAACCTGCAGCGGACTGGTTAGCCAATTTAAGTCATCTAAACAATTTCGGTTCTCATAATGAAGTGCTGTGGATGATTGTAGCCTGTGATGTGTGGGGGAGATCTACCCGTCGGCTTGTTTTAAGTCTTAGGTTATTTTCTCTATCTAGCAAAAAGAAGAAGAAGAAGAAGAAGAAGAAGAAGAAGAAGAAATTTTCTGCAATACAAAGCCGTGCTCTTGAGTTGGTAGGGTCTGCTAACCGACTCCAACAGGTTGACAACTTGACATACAGAGCACAATGTCTCTACTCCATTAAATGGTTAGGGGGCTTCAGAACAAGGAGATATCTATCATCCACCTGGGAAAGGTGGTATTTCATTCAGAAGCCTTCCAAACCTATGGCTGATATTACCAAGTCTGAAAATGCAAACACGAAGGCAGATGAGTGATCTTCACAATAAAGGAATTCTTTTATGAAAATAGATGCCATGAGAAGTAAATACCAACGTTCTGATGATGTTCCTGGGAAGATAAAACCACATAGCTGCGTTATTTGCACTCTTTCAGTGCCAAATGGATTTTTCTCTAATGATTCCCTTCATTTTGCTATTTGGATTTTACGAGGGGGTGGTTATCAACTGCATGGAAAATGGGGGGTTGTACAAAAATGTTTGTTTTCTTAGAACAAAGTGAAAACATCAGTTTGATCCAAAGAAGGAAAAAACAAAACAAAACAAAACAAAAAGCAATTAAGTAACTATGCTTTTAAAACCAACAAAGAATGCTTTTATGTTTTCACTTCCTCAAGGATATGGGCTACTATTTGGTTTATGACTTTATGGGGAGCACATAAACCAAAATCTCCCATGTACGAGTCACATGGACTGCTTTAAAGCTTCTATGGATCATTACCGCCCCATACTTAAATGCATTTGGGTTTTGGGTCCAGAACACAAATATGATAAGAAAAGTGAGTTGATACACATTCGATCAGAATCGTTATCTCAATATTGTATGCAGTATGCTTTGTGAAGCATAGGAAAACATACAATCTAACTTAGATAGAAAATAAACCTTATTACGCCAAATTAATTTTTAAAACAAAAAGAAATTGCAAAAAAAAAAAAGAAATTAAGTCAAAACAAAAGCACGATATCAAGGAGTTAGAGGCCAATTTACACATCCAAAGGTGCAAGTCACAAACAATGTCGATAAAACAGATTACCACCCAAATCTTCATTTGAAAAAAGACCCCTGAACTTTTAGTTTTTAACACCCCCCCCCCTCTGTTAACATTTCATCAATTAACTTCTAAAAACTTCTCAAGTAATTATCACGTTCTTAACTCCCAAATGTCGATCCTTCGAAATGCATCACTCTAAATTCTAATTTAGGAATACAAACTTTAAACAGCTAGCACTCTAAGGGGGCGTATGCCACGTTCATTAAGAAGAAAAAAAAAGGTTAATTATTTATATATACCCTATATATTTAAAAAACTATTTATATACCCTAAACTTTTATAAATACCTTGTTGGCATTTCCAAGGTTAAGTCTATCAGATAAAATTTAAAAGACAAAAGTATCCTTGATCATTCATTAAATTTTCAAAATATGTCATTTTCTTTCTTCTTCTTCTTTTCTCTCTCTCTCCTATGAGTTTAATAGGGCTGTCAACTGTTTAGGTCTTGTTCAGGACAAGGTAAAACCATTCCGAACCGATTGTTAAATCAATAAACCCAGAACCAAATCAGACCCTAACGGTTCTGATTATCGGGACAATTGGATTTGGCCCAATAAGAACCGATTAAATTTAAAACTGTTAAAATCTGTAGTTTTTTGTAAACAAGGAACATATTATTCAACGACCTGTAAATAAAGAACATTTAAAAACTGTTAAAATCTATAATTTTTTATAAAAACTGTTACAATTATAGACATTAGTATAATACAAATTTCAAGAATGCCATGAAAGCTATGAGGATAATAGCATATACTTGTCTTATTATTGAATATTTAATCGGTTCAGGACAGCCAAAACGGGTCCCAAACAGATGATAATCGAGACACATAATAAAGAACCAGAGCCGACCTAATGGGATAGAATTCTGAACCAAAACCGACATAATTGATTTGGCCGGTTCGATTCTATCGGATAGACCCATATCCATTGACAGCCCTAGATTTGAAGGTCAACCTCATTTTTAACTATAGTCGGACAATCACCTTGATCAACAACCAAAGGAGAAGAATTTGAACTAAGTAGTGAATACCTGGTGTGATGTCCTGACAAGGGTTTCTACAGCCCCATTAATTATAGATAAAGACCAATATGCTCCTCACTTTCATTTGGTGCTTGGGGTTTTGCACTTGTTGCTGTAGACCACACTCATCCATCCGGAGAGGGATGTGGAATCATATCTAAGATGGAAAACACATTCACTTGAATAGTTGTATGTTTGGAGGCCAACGATTAGAGAAAAAAGCCAAGACCGAGCTCCAGGAAAAGCTACAAATAAGCACCGATTTGGATAACAGACCCAAATCTTCTTTCTTCTACTCTTTCTTGGTTCTGCCACTGGTTTTTGCTGAGAACCAAAATTTTGATATCTTCTTTAAACTTTAACACTACTTTTCGTTTTGTAAATAGGATTTTTAATGTACCAGCTAGGGGTGATCATTTCAGCCCGGCCCAGAAATTTTGGGTTTGGGCTTGCGTTTTGTATTCAGGCCCGGCCCAAGCCCGGGCCTACATCAGGCCCGCAAATTTTAGGGCCAGGCTTGGGCTTAATACTTCAAGCCCGTCCTGGTCCGCATATATTTAAACTTATTTTACATTAGATTATATATTTTATATATAAATATTATAGTATGACATGTATAATTTATATTATATGTAATATTTTATATTATATAATGTATAAAATAAGTTTATATGCATGTTATGTCATTTAATATATAGATATATAATATTTTATATTATATAATGTATAAAATAAGTTTATATGCATGTTATGTCATTTAATATAAAATATTATAGATATGTAATGTTTTATATATGAAAGACATTGGCCCAAACAGGTCCGACCCGGCCCAGCCTGGGCCTGTATAAACCTGGGCTAGGGCTTATGTTTATGGGGCCTAATGTATAGCCCTTATCATAAGTGCAAAGCCCGGCCCATGATCACACCCCTAGTACCAGCTCATAAAGTCTCCCAACAAGCTAAAACACATCCTTTGTCTTTTTTTTTGAATATTCTTTTTCAATAAAAAAAACATGTTTTTACTCCCAAAAAACTATATTTAAAAAAATAGCTAAAAAATGTATTTCCGTGTGTTTTTAAGTTTCAATGTCTCTGTATCGAAATTTTAAACCTTGGGCCGATGAACAAGGTATGTATGAATTATTTTTAGGTGTTTTTATAGTTGAACCCACCTTAGAAATCTGACCCCACCGGGTCAGATGAATCCTACCCATGGATTGATGCCAAATTCACGGGCATGATGCATTTTATAGGGGGGCTACTAGTAGACTAGGAGGGGGCTGTAATTTCAGATTTCTGAGGTGGCTTGCAGTCCACTTATCCCTTGTTTTTAAAAGGAAAAATTATTGATCAATACCCTGCACTTTAGGGGTTGTGTCAAGTCGGTCAACTTTAAAACGTGTCTCTGCAGTACCCTCAACTTTCAAATTGTGTCTAATAGGTCTCTACTATTAATTGACCATCAATCAATAATATTACCGCTATTGTACCAGACCCATTTCAATGCATAGCAGTATAATTCTTCGTCCAATTCCAATTGATCATTGAACAGGGAAACTTGAACATGGGAGCAGAAGCTTCAACAGTTGATCAATATCCAGTTTCATAACCCTTCTTCTCCTTTTCTTCTTTTAACACTCAACAAAATTTGTAAAATGGTAAAAAAAAACCATAAAATATAATTTTGTCATTTTAAAATTATATAATGCACACATGATGTCACGTGATGGTGTTGGCTGCCCATCAATTATCTGTAGGAACCTAATAGACACAATTTGAAAATTAATTTCAAGGTATATATACTACAAGTAGTTTCTCAAATATACGGAGTATATATAAATAATTAACCAAAAAAATATATGAATGTGATCCATTTTTTAATTAGAAGGGCATAAAGCCTAAATAGAAATAAAGATCATATTTAGAGCAGGGCTCAACAACCAGATAAGAACTTAGAAGACTCATCCCAACTGCGTTATCTTTTTATAATATTCAGAGAATTTCTTCACTGCTGTTGAGCCACCATCAATATATTGTAAAACAGACTTGGAAGCTCGGGGCTTTGGGCTTTTCTTCAAGGCATTCCATTGTGATTAGGTAGGAGATTAGGAGAATGTAATTGCCGCATGGGTTGCCTTGTTTTTGATCTCTTGGGATCACAAATAACCTGACGATTATCATTTATCAATCAAACCTTCATGGTGTATCTGTAGTACTGATAGCTAGCACCTGCTGACTGTCAAACGGATTAATCATCTCTTTTTAAATTAAAATTGATTTCACCTTGTTCATCATCCCTGCCCAACTGCCATCAAAACCCTTAAAAGATGAATAATTGACATTTCAAGCAAATTACTCCTCTATCCTTTTTTTTTCCTCAAAGAACAAACCAGCTAACATTCATTCTAAAAAAACATTACTCCTCTACTCCTGTTGGGTCTCGAAACAACAATCTCGAGCCAAGCCACATTAATTTTTAATATTACGACAAGGAAGAAGACAGAGAGGAGTAATCTGTAGCTGTAGATCATTAAACCCCGGTACACGACTACACGTATGTGCAGGCTATGGACAGGAGGTACACAAGGACCTGGTTATATTTTGTTATGAATCTGGAGCATCCAATGATCCAAAGTTACAATAATTAAAAAGAAAAAATGAAAAAAAAAAAAAAAAACTGCGATACCCAAGAAGGAAAAACCTACAACAAAGGCCATCTATTAGAAACCAGAAACCAAAATTTGCATTTCAAAACAAAAGCATCCAACTGAAATCTGAAAATTTGAGAAGAAATGACCACAAGGAAGTACGAACAATAAAGAGAAAAGGAAAACATCCATTGGCTAGGAAGGCATGAAAGCAACAGTTAGAAGAAGGCAACCAAGACCACCGAAGGGTAGATCCTTGCACTTAACAAAAAAAATAAAAAAAGAAACCATCAACAAGACAAAAACAGGTTGAAAAGTTAACTCAAATCACAAGCACATAGAATGGAAACATAAAAGAAAAAAGGGTAACAAGATCAAAGGGGCCAATTTGAAAGGAGAGGGACAAACAACATGAAAACACGAGGGGGAAAAACCTCAGCAACTCAACTGAACTTTGGTGAATTGATACTTTTAAACCGGATGGATTGGAATAGGCAAACTTGTCCAAATTTCAGAAGCACAGACGAAGAACCAAAGAAACTTCCAAATAAAATCAATAAAGAACTCAATTCAATTCAGATGTTATGATTAACGCATTTGAACACCATGTAAACCAGAAGCAGAATCAATTCTGTCACTGTAAATTGAGAAAGCTTCACCTAAATAATACACAGAACAACAAAATAAACGTCATCGTCCTACGAACTAACACAGAGTCAAACTTTATAGCAAAACCGCAGTCACTTAGAACGCCATTCAAAAGAGGTACAGAAACAAGAAGCCAATTTGACGAGGGAGGAACGTCACAACAGGTAGAGACGAAAGCAACGCACAGAAACTAATTAACTCCAGGGTGAAGTTTAATGAAAACTCTGAAACAAGTGGAAATCATCCCAAATTTTAGATGGAAAGCCTGAATGCAACTAGAGATATAACGCCAGAAATATTCAGAAACTCTAATATGTTCAGTGGAGAAACTTCTATATATAACAATAGAGAAACAAAAACCATCATCTTCAATCACATAAAAAACGTCCATCATTTCCAATTACAATGTAAATTAACAGAAGAACTCAAACCCTGAGTATCTGAAGCTTAGTCGAGAAAGCAATCGCTACCCAGTCCGGCTGAGTCGACGACCACTGCAGCTGCTCAATCTCCGCCCCGGCCGTATACGCCAGAATCGGGTCCAACCCACCTTCAACCGGCTGGCCCATCGAAGAAAGATCCCAAATCAGCGCCTGAGAATCATCACCAGCCGTGCATATGTGACAACTACTATGCGGCGCCCAAGCTATGGCGTTGACGCTCGCCTGGTGTCTCTGCAGCTCCACCACCGGCAGCGTCGGAAACCGGATATCTAGCACCACCACCTTGGCACTGTCCATGATTATGGTTGCCATGTACCTCGGGTCCTGCTTGTTCCACCCCAAGCGCACCAGAGGCGTATCGGGCTCCGAGCTCTCGTAGATGATGGTGGAGTGCTCCTTGTCCCTCAAATCAAAGACCCTGACAGACCCATCTGCGGAAACCGAAGCAAAGACTCCGACGCCGCCCCAGGCGATGTCGTAGACCTCTTTATCGTGGGCGATCAATTGGGTATCGACGGTTTCTCTCTCGATGTCCCAGATGGTGCACGTGGTGTCGATGCTTGACGTACCGATGCGTTTGGGCTCTGCTTCGTTCCAGTCGAAGGAAGTGAGTGGGCCGCAGAACTCGCTGTTCTTATTGCCGTTAAGGAGACTATTAAGCTCGACTCGGTCATCGGCGATTCGCCAGACGCGGAGGAAGTCGCCGGAGGTGGCGAGGAGATCGGGTTTCTGGCACTCCTTGTCGGGGATGAAGATGGTTTTGGTGGGTGGGTAGGGGTGCTCGAAGGAGAGGTTTGGGTCGGAGCGGATCTCGCCGGTGGAATCGTCAAGTTGGACGATCTCGACTCGGTTGGGGTACTGCTCGAGGAGGCTGGCGATGGCGAGTCGGTACTTCTTATCGCGGCGAACGCTCCAGTTCATGGCGTAGATGTGCCAGGGGGCCTCGTAGGTGTAGATCTCCGAGCGCTTTTGCTGCTCCTCTGACCCGTCCAGGGTCGGATCGCTAATCGTCCCCATCGAACTCGATCCTCCTCTCCGTCTCCGACTCTCTGTTGTGGATAAGACTTTTACAGAGAAGGAAAGGATTGGAGTATTAAAGAGAAAAGAAAGAAATACAAGAAAAACCTAAAAAACAAAGTCCACTCGCAAAGGAGCCAGCCGCAGCCGGAGGGGCCGACTGGAGTAGCGCTTTTTCTTCTCTCTGGGTCCTCGACTCCCGGTTTCCACTCTTCGAATCAGGTAAAATGAGATTTTTTTCCGGATAATTGGTAACCGGTATGAATTTCCGAGTTTGACATTTTAGTACGTTGAACTTTCATAAATATACATTTAAGGCCTCATTCGTTTCGGGATTTTAAAATCCACCCATCTATCCCTTTGCCATTAGGTAATTATCCGAACAAGTGTTTATTTTTTAAAAAAGTAAAAGAAATATATTAGTTAGGAGAGATATATACATACTTCTTTGCATCTGCGATCCCGCATATGGTTTTTAGAGCATCGATCACTTGCTGGGAATCTGAGTATATCTGGAGATGAAGATTTTGTAGCCGTGAAGTTTGTTAAATTTCCCGGAAAATGGCATATAATTCTGCTTTTTCAACTGTTTTGGGCAAAGATCAAAAGAAAGACAAATAGTTTCATAGGAGAAGGTTGTTTGGTTAATATTGCCTGCATCTGCGAATATAATACAATCAGTATTCTAATTTACTGTGTTATGCGGATATAGTTGTGTTGAAAATTGAGCCGTTGAAAACACTGTTAATTCTGGTTAAAATCGAACGAGGAGTTAGAAATCTGTCTTTGTAACACTTTTCATTGCAAGTAAATCAAATATAGTATAATGCAATGGATACTAGTTTAGAGTTTGGGTGATCAACATCTTATCTCGGAGAATTTTAGTAAGTTCTATTATGCAGTTTTGCCAAGAAGAGTGAAAAATAATATTTAAGTTGATATTCTAAGGCGCCGCAAAAAAAAAAAAAAAAAAAGCTCTAGTATTAGGACATTCCAAAAAGAGATGGTTTATAGATTTTGTATTATTTTGACACAAAACACAATCACCATGTTGAGAAATATCTAAAATCTTTTCCTTTGTAGGAAGATAGCCGAACAAATGCTTACTAGGCTTAATTGTTCGGATAGGTGAGGTTTCAATATTCTTGAATTGTCCGGATAAGTTATTAGGTAAATATAAAAGCAAGAGGGATAGCGTGTTCTAAGTGTGTGATGAGGGGTGATTTGGCCGACCAACCACGAAGAAACATGTGGCAAGTCTGAACTGTCTAATGATACTTTGGCACCACATGGAGCAAGTTGGGTAGAGCTGAGACGACCTAAACTGACCTTCTTGACTTACATCTTGACCTGGGAAAGGTTAGCAGATCATTTCCCAACAGGGCGGCACATATCACCTCAGGAGAAGAAGTCGAGGACCTCGAAGGCCGGCTTGACCTGGCTGACCTAGGTAGCCAAAGACTTCATTTGCCAACTGACTTCTAGGGTATCGAGCTACTGACCTACATGGCAGATCACCCTTATCTAGGGGTAGTGTGCCTTTCGGTTTCAAGTTAGGTAGCAACACATTACCTACTTGGCATGGATGACCCCAACTCTTGCACGGCTTGGAGAGATTGGATGAGGATCACTGCCTACATGGGATGAACGTGCCCCAAAGATAACAAACTGATAAGGCCCGGTGCTCCCAAATATCTTGGACATGGAACTCGAACCCCAACTCTTAGCTCTTGATTCTCCCTTGCTTTCTTGTAATCAGACATACTGATCCTGTCTCTCTTGCAAACTGGTCTGTCAACCTCAGCACTCGTCGTCCAATCTGTCCTCCAACAGGGAAGTAGATGATTTCGAGCGGCATTAGTGTGCAAGTAAGTTACTTACCCATCTTCCAGTAGGGTATTAGGTACCTAGGTAACTATTACTCTCCGGTATTTTGACATACCATGGGAACCCAATATAACATCATACGAATGTAGGGATTGTGGTCAATTGCTCGTTGACCGATTTAGCCCCCCGCTAAATACTAACAAACAAATAGAACCATAAATTCACTTGTTCGGGTAAGTGTTTCCTACGTAACACTCACACAAGTAGGTTCATTTACCCAGGTAAATAGCTTTCTAGTAAATAAACAGAGCCTAAGTCTACACCATTAAATTAAGATGAAAATTACTAAAATGCCCATATTCATATTCTCCTTTTTTATTTTTTTCCTCTTATGTTACCTTTGGACGCAATTCAGTGGCATCACAAAGAAACAAATATTCACATAATAATAAAGTAGTTAAAGTCTACACTAAATAAAAGTGTTTAGAAATAAGTAAGAGAATTCTCTAGTAAAGACTCTAGATGACAAGGATAGATGAATACTGAACAATGCTTATATATTGGATTTTATACAAGGATAGATGAATTATCCCTGCAAATAATATTGCTAACACTGTTTGGGTATGAAGATAGAAGAAGATGAAAAAGATAACCTGAACATAAGCACTTTTGTAATTTTATTCTTATTTTAAGGTCAATTTTAGCGGAATTGGGCTCAAGTATATACTTATAAAAATTTAACAGTTGAAAGTTACACTAACGTTGAAGTACAATATGTATCTATAGGGGTGAGAATTCTTCGGTTTTCGGTTTGTTTGGTTTGGTTATTTTGGTTTTCAATTTTTCTGATTCGGTTAATTCAATTTTATAAAATTACAGTTTTGATTTCGATTTTTTAGGATTAGAAATTTGGTTAATTGAATTGATCAAAATTTATAATATACAATATGTATGTATGTATGTGTATATATATGTTTTAACCAAAATAACTGAAAATTTTGATTTCAATTTTTTGGTTTTCCAGTAATTTGGCTTTGGTTTGATTTCAATTTTTTGGTTTTCCAGTAATTTGGCTTTGGTTTTCCAGTAAGTAGGGGTGAACTGAATGCTCACCCCTACTTATCTATAATATACGTCTTCTTTTTCACTAAATCCATATGTATTCTTGGAACCTAGATTTCCTGCACTCTATTTGGTGTAGGACTGGTACACTTCCAATGAAATTCAACCATGTCTTACTCCACATGCCTTTCCATCTTACATGTGCATATTAGGTTTGACGGTAAGGTTTGGGTGTTAGTCCCCAAATTCAATTTTTGATATCTGAAAAATAGGAAAAAGGTGGAGAAAAAATAAAAAATTTGACTATCCAGTCAAATTAGGGAAGTTGACGCTTCAACTTCGTCATCTTCCTGCTAAAATCTTGGCCCCTCTTCGTAATCTTTGTATAAAACTTCCTCTCAATTCTAGGGTTCTTTCTCCAGTAATCAAATTCGGAGTTTCATCGACGTTTCGAATCAGTTCGAGTATTTCCCCCCTGGTAAGCTTCCGTGCTCTGTTCCTTTTCTCATTCAATATTCGGTTTTCTCTGCAAAAGACTGATGCAAGCAAAACCCACTGAATCAACGAGTAGAAGCCATGTTTATTTTCTTTGTACAATATCATCTCCGAAATCGGTCTCAAACATCTCAAGCTCCTTCGGGGACCAACCTTCTTCCTTCACAGTCTCCTACCTCATGGAATCATGCGGCATGTCGTTAGAATCCGCTATTTCCACAGCAAACAAACTCCGCATTCAGAACAAAGAGAAAGMAGATTCGGTGATTGAGCTCTTAGGAACGCATGGCTTCACCCAAGCGGACATTGCGCACATTATCGCCAAGAACCCTAGACTGCTTCTATCAGACCGTGGGAGTCGCACCTGATGATGGAGTTAAGAGGTTGAAGTTCCGGGAGGAGAAGGCAAAGAAAGGTCCATTAACAGGGCATCAATCTTAGCCTTTTGCGGATAAAGATGAAGATGAGAAGCTTCCTAGCGACGTTCTTTTCTAGCATTTCGTCTATGAAAGCTGCTTATGCCCAGCTCCAGATTGCTCAGTCCCCTTATGATGCTAATGGTATTCAAACTGCGGATGCGGTTGTAGTGTCTGAGCTGAAGCATCTCTCCGAACTGAAACAGTGTTACTTGAAGAAGCAGATTGATCCTTCTTCTGAGGTTACACCGGTGTTGGCTGAAATTCAAGAGCAGAAAAATCTCTTGAATTTAAGGAGAAGATTTTTGTTTGCTGAAATTTATTATATGTACATATACATATACATATAATATGCTGTGGGACGTTATGAGGCAGGACGCTGTAGGGCGGAGATGTGAACTAAGGGTAGGGCGGCACAACGGGATCCTTTGTAAGCAAGGTTTAAACTTGAACTTTTCTGAGAGTTCGCTTATTCTTACTTACCTCAACATTAATGCTTGAAGCACCATTATCTTGGCACAGGTCATTATGAAATTGCTAATAGGATTTGATGGTGGTGGCTTCTCATTTTTAACACCCATCTTATCACAGGAAATCTCTTCACCTTTCGAACCTAATCTCACCACCGTTAGTTCGAACGTTGGAGTTCAAATTTTTATCCTCTTGATTTAATGGGTATGGTTTTCGGCCTTATACAACGAGTGTTGGCGCGTGGCGCCTTATGATGGTTCACCCTTTCAAAGCAGTATGTCAGCACTCAGCTGATATTGCTATATTACCCCCCCCCCCTCAATTTCTCAAATATTCAAATGGATAAATAAAGCATATTAGGGGGTGTCCTGTATGATTAATTTTGTTTAAAAAAAAAAACTGCTACATTAGCATAATCACAACTGCCACATCAGCATATTAATATATTTTTGCTGATGTGGCAGTTGTTTTTGTTTTGAAAAACAAAATCATACAAATTGATGAACTCATGAACTCCCTCTTAATAACAACAAAACTGACTAAACAAACAGACTCCCGTAGCAATCATTTAGCATACCCGGAAAATGCATGAGCCTGACCATTCAGATTTCTACTTGCATAACAGAACTTAACATCATTAAAGTTAATACATAAGTCCTTAGTTCTGTCCAAAAAAAGGATAGCAAGTCCAAGGAACAGATAAGCTCCCATGAGTAAGAGCATTAACTGGCAGAAGGAAAGGGAACAGTATTCAAAATGGCCCTAAGCTCAGCTTCTAAAACCCCATTCTGAATTCAATATCTACCACCTGCAGCTGCATAAAAAGAACAATTACAAAAATATACTACAAATCCATGAGAGCCAACACCAGAACTAAGCAGTAAGCACTCCACCGTCACATTTAATTGGAACAACAGTTTCTAAAACTGAAACCTGGACACCACCACTAGAATTACCAGTGGTCACGCATTGATCACATCTGTTACACCCAGAACTAGCAATATGCTGGATCTCAGAGACTATAGCAGTTATCCTTTTAATGACCAAATGCAAATCAGTTTGCTTTACCTTCAAAATTCTTCTTGTTCCGAACCTGCCAAATATAATAGAAAGCTATTGCAACCTAAGACAAATGATTGTTTTTCGGATTTTGAGTTCACATTGCAATTTTTTTTATAAGTAGTTCATATTGCAAATTAGATTACTAATAATATTGTAACGATTCTATATTCAATCTTCACACAGAGAACCCAAGGAAGCTATTTCAATTCCAATTAAGGGTAATTGGAATTAGCAAAAAATAAGTTTTTTTTTTTTTGCCATTTTCATTCTAACAGTGGGATGTGGCAATTCCCTAACAATATAAATACCAAAATAGGTTACAAAGCCAAACAAAACCAAATAAGCACATTAGATAGTGATTCGTACCATTAGCACATAGATGCCAGTATGCCACTAGGTGCCATAGCAAGTGGGACAGGAACAAAATAACCACCTGATTAAAGAACGTCATTTTGAAATTTCTTCAGCACTCTTTGTGCAAAACCCAATACAAGTTGAATCTACTTTACCAAACATGATTTTTGAACCATTAAAGTTGAATCACCTATATGGCGCTAATGTGACAATGATTCAACCTGAAACAGATTCTACCAAGCACATGAGCTATGAGCATCCTATTGCAAACAGCATTCCTTGGCTTCAAACAAAAAATAAAAATTGTAAGCTTCAATTTTCAGTCCAATAACATGCCTATAGGATAACCAACTGGGTGTTTGGTATAATGGTGTTTTAACTTTTAAGTCAAAACATTGGTACCTGAATTATAGCATTGGAAATCGGGAAAATTAGGCGGCTTGACACAACAAAATACACTTACTGTAATTTTAAACAAATAAGCACCACTAGGCACCTATAAGACAACTGAAGTGGAGACCCCCGCTGAGGGAAATGGCAAAAAGACGATTCCTCCAACACCCTTGCACATAACCTCATGTAAAGGGTGGTATATATAAACATTTGAAATTATTAATCTGCCCAGACAAACATGATTATTGTATGAGGAAGTAAAAAAAAAAAAAAGTTACACGGTACTTATGTGGACTCTAAACAGGAATGCAACACCACAGTTCCAAAAACCTCCAAAGGCAGCTAAGTTGATGCTCCATATTTAGTTTTCTGATCCAACCTCCTCCATCTCATCCTCTCTAGCCAATCCAAGCCAAGAGAGGATCCAGATTCGGCCCAACCCAACCCAATACCACCACTAATGCCAAGTGCCAGCCTAACAAGAACCAAGAAGCACACATGTAAAATAACTATTTCAGTTTCTACTTTCTATTAGCATCTCAGATAACCAGATATGAATTCTTGAGATCTTTTCCACTTTACCACACAGAGGGGGCAAAACTTCAAGTAAGCAATTATTTGAGACCTTGCCAAAACTGGTTTCTTCTGCCATAACCTGCAAGAGAGGCCATTACCTAATATTTTACCATTATACCTGCCAACAGAGAATATTGTAGAACAAACAAAAAAAGGCACTCACTCAAGTCTGATAATGCCATGTTTCCTAGTAGCATAAAACTTCAAAAAATAATTCTGACCAATATGCAATTTTAAAAATGCCAGCTTTAAACATCAAAAGGACAGTTTAAGTTTCTGCTACTGTGCTACATTATGGAGAAGATCTGTATGCCCTAGCCTCATTCCCAGCTAAGCAGGGCAATTCTTATATCCAATTATTACATAATCCATTTACACCAAACATTTCAGAGTGATCCTAGATGTTCTAATGCTACAGCACATTAAAGCACCTGAACTAGTAAGTTTGAACAAAGAAAACAAAAAAAAAAAAAAAACGAAAGGAAATGACTGCTGCCCACTACAAAGATGTTGAAGCAGTGGAAGTCCGTTGCTTATTTCCAAGGATGATTACAATAACTGTCACATCATCATGATACTTTCTCCTCCTTCCAGCAGGAATACTCATCAGCTCCTCAGTACTGAAACCTGAAATGGAACAAATATAGATCAGGTTTTGGGGGATACAATAAATCCTAGTGCTCTTCTGGTGCTAAGATGTAGAAAATATTAGATTATGCAGATTCCAGTAGCAATTAGATGCTGCACTTTGAAAGCAGAGCAATATGCAAAGTATGACAAGATAATGAAGATAGAACATGTAAACATAGTTACAGGCAATTGTGTCAGATAACATGCAAACATGGCCACATTAAGCTAGGGATGCAAATGGATCAGACCATGATCCGATCTTATTTGGTCGAATTCGGATCACCCCTATCCGATCTGATATATGTTATTTATTTATTTATAAACATATTTTTATAAATTTGTTATATTATTTATTTTTTTATAAAAAAACATGTATATATATGATGAAAATAATTAAAAAATACTTTCATTTTTTGTTTTTACTTTATTTAAATTAGTATATTTTATTTTTCTTTTAATAATTTATAAATTTTTAAGGAAAACAAGTCAGATCAGATCAGATCCGAAGATCTGACTTACCAATAGGATTCAAATTTAAATCGAGTCCTATCAGATCGATTGGACCTTTGGATCGGATCAGATCCGACATGAACAGTTTCGGATCAGGTTTGAATATACCCTCATTTGAATCCGATCTGATCCGTTTGCATCCCTAGGTCCAGCTGACTTTTTTTTTTTTTTGAGAAAAGGATAATGTATTATCATTGATGTGAACAAAAAAGGAATCCTTATACAGTAATTGTGCATCAATAAACACAGGCTCCATAACAAAAAAAAGGAGCATGCACCGATCAGCTCAACTGACTTATTAGAAAAATAAGTGGCTCCATCCACATTGCAGAAAAAAAAGACAATGTGGAACAGTAAATTATACATGCATTTTCAGCTGCCCTGAGAACAAGTTGCTCAACCAGATGCTTTGCAGGATCACCAAAAGGGTTATCTTGAATAAACAGATGAACAAGTTGCACTACTTCATCATTGCTGAAAAAGTCGAACAATCCATCACTTCCCAAAATGACAAACTGGTCATTCTCGGTCATTCGATGACTCTTGGTGAATGGTTGAGTATAAACATAAGGAGGACTGCATAAGTTCTGAACTCGAAGGATTCCTATTAGTGCATCATTCAACTTTTTCTGCAGTAAATAAAAATAGAAGAAATAAAAGATCAATAGGAGCAAACTCCGACTCTGAAATGCTTTTTTCAGTCTCCAGCAATAGGGTGGATAATACCTTTTTAAGGTAACCAACTCCAAATGCTCGGGTTAATTTCAGCTTTCCTTTCACTCTTCCCCCAATAATAGGAGAGGAATCATCAGGATGATCAGCCAAAATTTTTTTGTACTCCATTTCATTGTCAACAGTATGAGTTTCTGTCAGTTGGACAGCCTTCACTAAACTACCCTCTTCGATTCCACCTGTTGCCAGTACAGCCCTGCTATCCCCTAAATTCAGGATATACAAGTCATTTCCATGAAGAAGCACAACCAATACACATGATCCAACACACACCAAATCAGGTCGATCTTCCATTTCCTGTTTAATCATGTACATGAAATCACTCTCAGCTTGGGCAAGGGCATGACGGAGGCAATCTAGAACACCAAGACGGAATGAATCACTTGGGAGATCCCCATCAGAAGAATGTAGAAGGATGGATTCTTTCTTCTCAGATTCAGAAAGTTGACATTTTTTAGCCTGAGAAAATTCACCATCCTCTCCTGAACAACCTTTCAATGAATTGCATTGACTCCTTGTACGCCATTCCAGTAAATGCAGATAAAACCCTATATTTTCATAAAGAGTTCCAGCTAAAAAGTCAGCTGCATCCCGCCCATTGAATCCATCGTATACCCCACAAAACAGCCATCCATTTTCTTCAGAACAAACAGCTTGCACTCTGTCTTCCCCTGCAGCACCTCCAGCCATTTGCACATCCAAAGCATTTAGAAAACTGGAGGATTCTATCCTTGTAGGAGCACTCATAGTTTTCCACAAATTTTCTCCAATTTCAAGATCATTCTCCATAGAGACACCTCCACCACAGGAAGACATACTACTCTGAGATGACAGTGATACAAGGTCTAACCGTGCAAGAGTTGGTGAAGATTCCATCCGTCTGAATGAATTTGGAGAATCCAAACCAGGCAGGATTTCCTCCCCTATGAGACCATTACATAAATTTGTGTTTGCCAAGGTAGCATTAGCACTAAGAGCAGCACCAGACAAACAAGAAAAGGAACTGCTCCTTATCCTCATTTTGGAGTTTTGATTCTGAATCTCTGCAGAGAACTCAATATCATTAGTTATTGAGAAAGAGACATCTTGATTTACAGTGCTGCACTGATAACCAAAACTAACACTTAGCTCCCCTGAAGGCTCAGGGAGGTCTTCATACACTCTCGTCATTTCTGGATGGAAAGACCAAAATGAGTGCTCACTCAGTGGTGATCGGAACTGTTCTTCCTTCAACAGAGAGATTTGAGCCCACACTAGATAAAAAGACAGAGCTTAGGGCACTTGGAGACAGAGAGAAATTGAGCCTGCAAAAGATCAAAATACACAACTGCTTAAGAATCCTCATGATGTTTAAAGCTTTTTCACTTCATAAGGTTCCTCATGCATTTCCCAAATATAAAACAAAATTTGCATAAAAGGCTATTTACACAAATTACTTTACAAAATTTATATCAAATGCATAACAATGCACACAATAATCTTTAATTTCTTAATTTTATTTCTTATATTAGTAATTCTTCTTCTCTCCCTTTTATTCTCGCTCTTCTAACAAATTATCTCTTACTGGTATTGCTGTTATTGCTTTTGTAACCTGCATGTTAAATGGAGCTTTTAAAGCAGATCATTCTGCAGTGTTTAGACTAATAATTTATCACAACGGGTAAGTAAACAACTTCCTAGAATAATCTCAGAATTTTTTTGGACTGATCATTTTGGTTCAGACCCTAGAAAAACCTTCCAAAAATTAGGGTAAATTATAAAGACCAAGACCCCCTGTACTATGGGGTCAGTGACAATTACCCCCTGAACTTTCATTTGTGACAAAGACACCCCTCCGTTAGAGTTCTGTCAGTTAACTTAGAAAAATATTCTCATTCACTTGTTTTTATATTTCAGTGAAATGATTCTTGTTATTTTAGCAATTTATTGGTTTCGTTTGGAGAAAATGGAGGTATTTTTTGGACAATTAGGGTTTAAGAGAAAAGGGTGATGATGGGAAAATAAGAAAAGTTCACGTGGGTATTTTGGTAATTTAATGCATTCTGTCATCTGACATAACAGCCAGGGTGTATTTGTTACAAAGTGAGAGTTCAGGGGGCCTTTGTCACAAATGAAAGTTCAGGGGGTAATTGTAAGTTTGTAACTCACCCCATGGTACAGGTGGTCTTGGTAATTTACCCAAAAAAATTACCCCTCTTAGAAATCGCTGAAAAATTCAAGAAACAACTTATCTAGAGAAATTTTCTCCTCTCTGCTGTACTTCCTGATTTATCTTGCTTGATTTTAATAAATATTTTTTATCTGTTTACAAATAAAAAAATATGAATAATCTCACTCCCATAAACAATTTGATCAAATTCCCAATGTTTCCTCAGTCCTAGCACCTTATCCCTTTCTCTCTCTAGAAAGTTCACCCTTCAACAACAATGCTTCACTGATTCTCTCTCTCTCTCTAGGATCCATTTGTTTTCTCTGCAAAAGAGGCAGAAAATTCTCCGATCTGTAAAATATTAGTTATACTTTTGGCCCTTTCACGACCAAAACTCTGTTTTTCAGCCCTTTTAAACAGCTGTAATTTCAATTCAAACTATATTAATCCACTTAAATCCATCTACAAGATCACGAATACCTATGTAGCCTATTTGAATGAAAACTCAGCCAAAGCCCTTTAAGCCCTAATTTGTGTTTGATTTTGCTTGCTTTTTAACCAGTCTTGCATTATTATCTATCACAGCCTTGCATCAAAACTAGCTTATCATTACATTTTCCCTCTATTAGACTATCAGCTGCTCTAGCTATGTTCTACAAATAAGAAGCAGCTGGCCATGGTCAAATACTCAAAATCAGATAATTAAGATTTTTTCTGGAACAAAAATACAAAGTTAATAAAAAAATATAAAAGCTAAAGTCAACCAACACAAAATTTAACAATATAACTCAATTTAAGAGCTCCTATTTCTTACTTAAAACAGGAACCAAGCAAAAATTATTACTTGCCACAGAAGTCAGAAGTCAGGAGCTGCCATTATCATTTAGTTGTATATTTAAAAATTAGAAATAGAAAAATTAAATTCACCAGGAACGGCACACACCTGCCACGAGAACGGTGGTCTTCTCCTTGACATATGAACCCACGAGTAGGGTAAAACTGTAGCAGCTCCAAGATTCCATTGCTTAGATGCTTTTATCTGTTCATTAAAATGAACAAAGGCATGAATTACAAGACATATATTAAAGGAAGAATTAAGAATCTAGAACAAGAACAAGTTATTCATAAACACTCTCAAGAAGGTAAACAAGAAAAATACCAGTCTTCCCATTATTTACATGAAGAAAACCATATACTTGTAGGACTCCTTTGTTTCCCCCATTCTTTCATGTGGTCTCTAGTAACACCTCAATTTAATGCCACTGAATATTTATCTGAAATTCAAGTTTTGAATGAACCATGAGCAATTAACATCAGAAAGCAAATCCATAAGTGAAACCTAGACATAGGAAATTATACACATATTCTACCTGTCATTAATACCCAAAAATAAATATTATTAAATGAATGAATATCTCCACTGAAGTGCTCTTGAATGTGGTGGATCAGAAATAAAGGCAAATAAATAATATGAAGCAAAGTAGCAGAAACCAAGTATAGCTAGTAGAGGCATATAATCAAAGTAAGATTCTAATTACCAACTAACACCCCCCCCCCCGTTCTTACAAGTAAATTTAGTCTAAAAAATTCTTTCGTTCGAAAAAAGAAAAGAAAGTTTTAAATTCTGCAGACTGAAACGTCTCAGAAGCAACAGCAGGGTACTCAATCCCAAGTGCTTTGTCTAACTTAGGCTTGAGAGGGTAGAGTCCATGACATATAAATAAAGGTTTTAACCATGGATTAAGGTCAGATCAAATAATCCAAAATGGAAAGGGTTGAACCTCTCTACCATCATATAGCGGAAGGATCAAAGATTTCCAAAAGAAAATCATGCACAGAAGCACTGGAGGTCATCCAATCACCCAAGTCATACGAAATTGTATGTCATAGTCAAGTCCTTCGAAGAAATATCTTCCGCTATATGATTCAAATTAAAACTCATTGCAAATTAAAACTGAGATAAGATTCAATTCCATAACATAGTTTCTTGATCCCAAACTTGGATTCGAGAAGGAGACCTGAGTTTAAAAGTTAGATAATTTAAGAAGAAAAAATGATAGCAATCCCAGAAGAAAATAGTAATAATAGTAAGAAGAAAAAACAGAAGATTTGTAGCATAAATGCTCCATTAGGGGATGCTAATCGTAATATCAAAGCTTCCGAATGGTCGATCCAAACATCAAAGGGGAAAGCAAAAACCACCTATATAAAGTACTGAAACTAAAGAGAAATGAAAACCCAAAAAATGAATAATGAAATTTACCTAAATTCACTTACATAGATCAATCTCTGTCCAAGATTCCAGAGAGAGAGAGTGATCTGGAGTTGAAAGGAAGCTAGCTCGAGAAGCCAGAGATCCAAATCTCCAATGACGTCTCTGATGTCTTGGGTTGGCTTTGTCTCAAGAATATAAGAAAAACTCAAGCAAAAAAGAAACTCGTTGACCTTTGGACCTTTCTCAAATCTCAATCAGGAGAGAGAGAGAGGCGAAACGAGACTGTGGCGCAGATTGATCACTATTCAAATCAGCCCCATCCGAATTTCCCATACGCCACCATCCCACCCAACACCAATCAACAAATTATGCTCGATTTGCCACGTTGGTACTGCGCGCGGCCCAGCCCCACCCCCTAGTCCACCATGCAGTCTCTTCAGTCTTCTCCTTCTTCCTATTTGGTCAAGCTGTCAGTTGGATAAGTGGTGGGGGGACCCTGCAGGATTGTAGGTAGGCACGTGCAACTAACTACATTCTTGATGGTAATATATCGACGGTTTGAGATGAGTGGTGGAAAACTCGCAGTTGCAGCCCTTTTTCGGTGAATAATTCCAGGCCAAGGTCTTTTTAATTCGGTGAATAAAAGAGGATTTTATTCGGGTTCGGGGAGAGTGTCGACTGTTGAGAGCGTAAGTTATAGAGACTTGGAGAGGGACGGGGACCCACAACAGGCCACAGCCTTTCTGGTTCATGCAACAACACATTTTGGTTAGTTAATATTGTCATTATAAAACTTTTAGTAATTTGTTTTCTTTAATTAGATGGTGACAACTGACAACTAAATATAATAAAATATTATTTCTATTATTTATAATTTTAAGATAAGATGGTGTTAAATGTTATTATCAATCCACTTTTTTTTTCTCTGGAATCAGTTTCAATGAGGAGAGAGAGGGGGGCAAGGGTCCAGTAGTTGCAAACCAATATTATATTTAAGAAAAAGGTGTCTAAATAGCAATGAACCTATTATATAGTAACAAACTCATTTAAATTTTTACATCTTATAAATTTATTTAGTGGTGGTGTCAAAAAAAGGATAGATTGTGTTGTGAATACCCTAAGTACATATCATTTATCGTCACCGCAATTATAGTAAGTACATCAAAGGAAAACCATGTAGAGAAATCAAGGCTGGGACACTCCTACAATGGCACACAAATATTCCACCAAAACAAACAAAGCTCACGTGTTTGCGATCAGTACATTAAGTCTCCCGATGCATGTGATGAGCATTGATATAACCGCTTTTGGATACGTATTATTTTTTTGTGATGTGTTAATTTTTTGGTTGAGTACCTTGTTATCTCGTCTGCTTTCAAGTGGCATGTGACTCATAGGCTGAAGTGGAGCTCTCTGGTGACGAGCTACCTAGTGGCAAACTGCATAGTATCAAGTTGCCTGGTGGTGAGCTACTTGGTGGCAAACTGCCTGGTGGTGAACTATCTTGATGAGCTGCCTGGAGGTGAACTACCTTGATGAGCTGTTTGGGGGTGAGCTACCTTGATGAGCTGCCTGGTGGTGAGCTACCTTGATGAGCTTTGTTCCCCTTTTTAGAGGCCTACAAGGAACCAAATGTCAGAGGACTCGGGGTGGCTAACCCAACGAGGTCACTCTGATGCCTAAGTTAGCACTTAGTGGAGAGCTGAGAATGATATTAGAGAATGAGAGAGCTAAAGAGCAGAGGTTACCCATCCTTTTTCACCCCTGGGGGGTGAGGTCTTTATATACTGGAGTCCTCGTGGGTTAGGTGGAGCAGTTCCTAGGTTTCCGTTGTGATGGGACCTGCTTTCGTGTTAGGTGGGGATAAAGCCACCAACTGGTAAGGTTGCCCATTTCCGCCTGACTCGAGGAGTGGGCGAGCTAATATAGCCGTTACAAAGTATGGCCCCGAGGGATGCAGAGTACGAAGGTGTGTCCCTCGAGGTTGCCATGCGGAAGTCGACCTGACTAGGCAACGGGCTGCTTGGTGGCAAGCTGCCTATTGGCGAGCTACTTGAGCTCGCGTTCCACATACTTGATCTCCCCCAAATGCCGAAGTGCTTTGGTACCAATGTGTTCTTGCACCGAGGTAGGCCTGTCCCGAGATGGCTCATCTGCCCGAGCTCGACCTGAGCAAACTTGGCACTACTGTCCTGGTCGCGAATTGGTATTGGGACGATCTTGGCCCGAAGTAACTTTAGTACGGGGTGCCAGGGGTCATAATGTCATTGGAGGGCCAAATCCGCCCTCATCAAGCATAAAACACCTTCTGGGATTTACAATGAGTATAGAGAGATTAGAAACCCGCGGTGATCAATTAATGACAATACAAAGCAGCGATAAACGAAAGATGTCGCTCGTGTGTGTATAACAAATCTGAACATGCTAACTAAACCGATATCCCATCTCTGACACGTGGCCGCAGGAGAACTCCTAAGGAGACATAGCTAGCATATGCCATGTGAGAATCCTTGGAAGAAAAGGAAACTTTATTCTAAAGGATCTCGTTTGACACATGACGAAACTCCAATAGCAGTCCCACGACGATCATCAACGTAAAGACAAATATTCCCTTTCTTGGTAAGAAAGGGCTCCTTTATAGATCCTTCTCTTAATAGCCTCGGGATCCTCCTTATAAAAGGGAGAAAGAAGTACAACCCTGGGACATAACTATCATCCTCAATGTCACCCGACATTCCTAAGGCTCCCAAATAACTAAGAACATACCCACTATCTCAACCTACAACCTCACTCCATCTTTGTCTTTCAAAAAGACCACCATGTACTGCCTCACCACCATACTTACATTAGAATCTCTAGTTGCTCTCTTGATTACGAAAGATGGCCACTCGTAGAATTAATTTCTCACCCATCCCTAAAGAGCAACATGACAACCCTAAGAACATCCATGCAGAACTTCAAGACCATATTCCTCAGGAAGCCAATGATCAAATTGACATCATAATCCTATCTCACGAGGTTTATGGCTTTGAGGCCTGCTTCAACTGGCTAGAACAAATGCAGGCCAAGATGAGGAGCACTCTACAATTACTCCTACAAAGGACCGCCTCACCCGAGCACTCCCCATTTATTAGGGATGGCAATTTTCCCCATCCCCAACAAGGACTTGACTTGCCCGACCCAATGGGGCCGGGGATGGGGATTGTTTTGGTGGGGCGGGGACGGGGACAAGGTTTAATAGGAATCCTCGATCGGGGTCGAGGTCGAGGATGGGGATTAAGGTCCCTGCCCCGCCCTGACCTCAATTTGATATATACATATATATATCAAAACATATTTAAACATTATTTATAATTTAAATTTTTATTTATTTTAAATAAATTTATTTTTTTAAAATACTGTTATCTAAAAAATTTTGGGGATTTGGGTCCCCACGGGGAACCCATCCCCATCGGGGATAGGGATGGAGGACAAATTTTATCCTGACAGGGATCGGGGACAGGGATGGGGGTTAATTTCAGAATCGGGGTTGGGGACAGGGAATATGACCCCTGCCTCAAACCTACCCCATTGTCATTCATACCATTTACTCCCTCTAGTCCTTCTATACTAGCACCCCCTAACCACCCAGGAGCTTCGATCCTCAAGGTAAAATTGATCATATCATCATCCAATACGATCCAATCCGAGATCCTATCCTATTTGGTCGAATTCGGATCACCCCCTGTTCGGATTAGATAATAGGATCCGATCATAAATCAGATCACCCCCTATTCGATCTGAGAAGATCCGATCCAATATATATTGTATATTTATAAATAGAAATATATATAATACATATATATGTTATTTATTTATTTATAAATATATTTTTTATATTATATTTTTATAAATTTGTTACATTATTTATTTTTATAAAAAAACATGTATATGTGATGGAAATAATTAAAAAAAATACTTGTATTTTTTGTTTTTACTTTATTTAAATTAGTATATTTTATTTTTCTTTTAATAGTTTATTAATTTTTAAAGAAAACAAGTCAGATCGGATCAGATCCGAAGATCCAACTTACCGATAGGATTCGAATTCAAATTGAGTCCTATCATATCCGATCGGATAGGATTCGACATGAACAGTGTCGGATCATGTTCAAATATACCTTGATTCGAATCCGATTTGATTCGTTTGCATCCCTAGCTACATAACAAACTCATTCGGGGGAGTAAAGCAACACAATAGCTGAAGCGCCAAGCAGTCGGATGGAGATTAGGGAATACATGCAAGGCCTCATAGAGGAAAGCTAGAAAAAGGCCCAATCCATGCTCACACTTCAAAAACCCTACTCTAACAGCATCCTATACAAAGTCTACCTCGTCAGCTATACACAAGCGTAATAGTGGCCCCTGTATGATAGTCAAAAGGGAAGTCCACAGGAACATGTCAACAAGTTTGAAGACACTTTGGGTGCGTTTGTCTTGGATGGAGATCTAAAGTCCAGGAATTCTCAAATTCATTCACCAGCCCAGCTTACTCCTGGTTCATCAACCTAATGGCCAGAAGCTTGGAATCTTAGGGGAGAACTCACTAAAATATTCCTGTCCAAATGGTTCACCCTCGAGTGAAGGCTAACAATGGTTGATCTTCAAAATACAGAACAACATGCTGGAGAAGACCTCCTAACCTATGTCATGTGCTTCCAAAAACTGACCCATTCAATCTTCGAAGAGCATGCGACAGAGAAAAGCTTCATAGAACAGTGTATACAGGAGATGCATCCAGCCTACAAGATTGACATTGAAAATGTCAATGTTAAGACTTTTAGCTAACTTTGGAAAATTGTTGAGAGGACGATGCGAATTATCACTGCTTTTGAAGCGTAGTCTGCTACACCAGGGCTAACATATACCATGCTAGAAGTATACATTGTCAACCACAAGCCTCGCAACGCGAGGGGACTCAACCAGGGACCATATTATTGTGGTGGCAACCAGGGTCGACAAAATGGTACTTCATTACCGCCACCCCCACCAGCGTCCACTACAACAAGAGCGACGTAATTATGGTCATGAACAAGTTAGTAGAAGAACATGTCATCAGTCTGTCACAACTGCCTATTGGGGTCGACCCCGAAAAGGATAAACACGAGTTGAGATGGTGCAACTACCACCTGTAAGTACATGTGGTTCATCATCACCGTGAATACGATGAGGACATCAAAGGAAAACCATGTGGAGAAATCTAGGCCAGGACACCCCTATAGTGGCATAGAAATACTCCACCAAAATAGTAGAAAGCTCATGC